GCTGCTCGGGTGGACAGTGTCACGGGAGCACCCTGTGTGGAGAGAGGTTTTCTTTTGGGCAAGAGACCTGTGTGCCAAGCACTGTGTCAGGTGAAGAGGAGGGTACACAGTTGACCTGCCTCCTAGGGGCAGTGCTCGTGTGGGGGCACAGCACACTCCAGCAGGCATGGTTGTGACTGTTCATAAGAGCGAGGGCTCGTTCAGCTGGTATTGGACCAGCCGCCCTGTAAGTTTCATGATGGTTTGTCTCCCTCTATGCCTGGCACCGAGCGTTGCGCTGGCACGGTAAACAGGTCATTTGTTAAGCACCCTGCTCCCCGCTAGGCTGATTATGGGGGACGAGGACAGTCCATGACCTCTAGGAGGATCGCATGCTTAATACACGATTAAATGGTTCATGCAGCAGCTGCCCTCGCCACCCCGGGATGCTCAGAGCTGGGTGCGGAAGGCTTCCTGGGGAGGGGGCCTGAACTAGGTCCGTAGGCAGGGGTGGGGGCGGTGAGACTGGAGGGAGTGGGGGGAGGCTGAGAGTGGAGGGCCTCTTCAGGTCAGTTTTGGACCTTGAATTTTTTCCCAGAGGCGGAGGGGAGCCAGGAACGTTTTCTAGGCCAGAGCTTGCTTTATAGGTTAAACGGATGTGTCATCCCCTTTCTGCGAGGCAAGGCCTGCGACCTGGGATGGAGCGGGGTCACCCAGCCAGCTGGCCCTGGCCTTCCCAGCATCCCCGCTGCCACAGAAACCCCATTTGGAAGCAGAGGCGGACTTAGAGTGACTTGGATGACCGTGACCGGGACTGCAGTCTGGGAATAGAGAGGAATGGTCTGAGGTGAAGGATCTGTAAAGACAAGATTTCACAGTTTGGAAACAAGTACCGGGTTGTTCTTAGCGTAGTAATGTGTTCGTGTTTGTCACGACGGCTCAGCCCCCCTTGGTGAGAAGTGACTGCTGCGATCTTGTTTTGGGGACAAGGTTTCAGGAAGCGCAGGAGCCGGGCAGTCAGATTTCTTGGGAACCTTGAGCACCTCCCACCGACATCTCTTGGCGGCTGAGTGTGCGTGAGAGCGCAGACACCTCTCGGCTGTTAGCCCTTGCAGAGTGTGGCGTGGGGTCCTGTGCAGGCCTGTGCATGGCATGTTTGAAAAGCTCTTGACACAAGCAGAGTGATGCCAGTCAGTGGACCAGAGAGTCACCGCAGTCAGATATTTTTAAATGGCCAGTGGGACTGGGGTGGAGTCTAAACCCAAAGTACAAATTTTCAGTTTAATTTTAACTTTGCACTTAGCTCACACCCAGGATTTGGCAGGGGGAAATGGGCCTTTACTTTTTTTTTAACTTTTTTAAGCAGAACACGCCCTGGATGTAAAAGGGAAGGGTTTGGAGCACTGGCCACCAAGCAGAGACAGGAGGAGGGAGCGTGTGGGAATCAGGCCACTTTAAGGGAGGCTGGGGCGAGTGGACGTTTTAAAACACAGGAGCCTGCCCTGTGGTGGGAGAGAGCGTGGCCACCCTGCGGGAGGCAGGTGGTCAGGGTGGGCGGAACGCCTGCCACAGGTCAGCTCTTGGGCTGGAGGTCTTGCTTTTCCCTGTTGGTGCAGTTCAGACACTTCACACACTGCCTGCCTGCACCGCCAGTGACACAGCGCCCCACAGAGCAGCGGTGGGTCCCCCGTGTGGTGTAGGCTTTCTGGTGGTGTCAGCAACCTCAGGGTGGGAGCCTCGAGGAGCCCCCACCTTTGATCTCTCCCAGACTGTGCTGAAGCCCCGCCAGGAAGGAAACGCAGAAACCGTGGGGATTCCGGAAGCCCCACAGACCTGGAACAGCCGCCTGGCCTGCCAGGCACCACAGGCTTTCCTGCCCAAGTGATGGGAAGTGGCCTCTTACCCCTTGGCGAGGGGTGGGGGGGGTCTCAGCCCCCCGCCCTGCCTGCTCCTCATCCTCACTCCCTGGCTGCAGCCTCGTCTGAGCGAGCGCTGGGTTAGGTCTTGTGCTTTGGTTACCGAGGAAGTGTAACCAGGGCGGGTCCTGCCGGGCACGGCCCCCACCTGGCCAGAGGGGCTGCAGGCGGGGAGCAGGTGCGGGCCAGGATCGAGCTGGGCAGCCTGCAGAGCCTGCGCCCTGCATTGGGAGCAGCAGGGAATCCCTCCTGTCTGGCAGCAGCGCTGACCGCCTGGGTCCGTTGGAGCCCTTCTGTGCCCGTTCCTGGGGCTTTGAGGATCGACGGCTCTGATGTGCCTGTGAAGTGGGTGATTGTGAGGATGGAGTGAGACGGTGCCCTGGAAGAGCGTGCCTGCCAAGGTCTCAGGAAAGATGTCGTGGTCATTATTCATAAAAACACTCGCAGTGGTACCTTGCGAGTTGTCCCCGCCAGGAATGGGCACCAGCGTGGGGTGGTGCTGGGGTCTGGGGCTGGAACCTTGTGTCTGTCGGTAGACGTCCCAGGCAGCGTTGCGTCTCTCCGGGAAAGAGGCCGACTTCTGGGAGGAATTCCCTTGACTCCACAGCACCGTCTCTGCTCTGCGTGCACACACAAATGCGTGTGCACACGCACACCCATCACTGAGGACTTCCCGGCTGATGGCCGGAAGAGAAGCCCTTGACCCGTGTAGAGACCACGTCTGAAATCTGAGGGTGGACTGGAAACCCTTCTCATGTTGGTCTGTCTTCGGTGGGGCCGAGAGAGTTCCCAGGGCCTTTCAAGGAAAGAGCAACCAGCGAGGCCCACGCCCTGGACTCCAGCCTCAGCTGCACACGGAGGGCTGGTCCTCCTCCCCCAGCACAGCTGACCTCACTCCCTTTGCTCTGCCCCCCTAAGGCCGGGCTTCCTGGCTCTACACCGATCTCCTGCCCGAGGGCAGAAGGCCTATCGGGGTTTATTCCCAGGCCGTCTTGCCAGTGACCTTGAGAAGGTGGCTTGACCTGGACATCTGGCGTCCCCTGGGGACTGAGAGTGGGAAAGGAATGGATTTTCTCCATCCCGGATCCAGGGGCAAGGTGGGCCTCGGCACCAGTGCCCAGGTGGAGAGCTTGCCCGCTCTGGGCAAATTGCTGCTGCCCTGGGCTGAGCGGGCTGCCTCTGTCCACTGGGGAGAAGGAGGCAGGGCAGCTAGGGGGTGCTGTGGCCCAGACGTGCCCCCGTGTCCCTGGTCTGTCCACTAGCAGGGGTGGACTGAGGGAGCTCGTGGCATGCCTGCTATGGCCCCTGTTCCCTGATGTTGGCGCTTGGACCAGCGACGCCCAAGTGGGAGGCCCACCATGGCGGGCGGTCATCCTGGGCCCCGCAGGAAGAAGTTCGGCAGATCATCCGGCTCAGAGGTGGGGAGCAGCCCTGGACAGTGACTGGCTGGCAAGCTCACTTGCTTATCCAGAGGAGAAGAGGCTACGAGGGGCAAGAACGAGCCATCAGACAGTGCGGACTGCAGCTGAGGACGGGCCTGTACCATGGGACGCCCAGGAGAGAAGTCCGAACCTGTGGGGAGCAGTCCCAGGGAGGCCTCATAGCCAGGGGACGGCAGCACGTGTTTCCTGGAGGCTGCAGGGAGTGGGCAGGTGGGGGTGCTGTGTCCAGTACCAGGTGCAGCCAGGAGAGGTCCCCTCCAAGGTGCCCGGTGGTCCCGGGAGGCCAGGGAGCAGCCCGTGGCAGCTCGGGGACAGGCGGGGGTGACACTGGGCATCTGCCCGGAGGGCCCGGCACCCTGGCCTCCCTCCCTGACCCTCCTAGGTTGTCTCAGGCCTGAGGCCTGACTGCTCCTCCTCGGCCTGTGTCCCTGCCGTCTGTGCCCAAGCGTGGACTCTCCCGTGGCCAGGTCTGCCTTCCAGCAGCCCAGTGAGGCGTAGCTCTTTATCAGTTCTTTCTACCTCATTAGAAATAACTTAGGGCCCAAAGTTTGGGTAAGAAGGGAAGAGCAGACAATCTGCTAACTCTTAACAGGGCCACCCCCTCCCGGGAGGTGGAGGGGGCAGTAGGCGGGGACACGGGTGTCTCCGAAGACCAGCTTCTGTTTTGTGCCACCCTCGGCGTTTCTGGAGGGTCCACCCCAGGGTAGTGGCTGTCCTTCCCTGAGTCTAGAGCTGCGGTGTTCAATGTGGTAGTTTATATGTGCATCTGTACACTTTTACTAATTAAAACTAAGTAAGATTTAAAACGTCGTCTGACCTCACAGCCACACGTGGCCAGTGGCCCCTCTCTCGGACGTGCTGGGGGTTTCTGACGTCCCAGAGAGGCTGGTGGACAGCGCTGGTCTGGGGAGTGGGAGCGGGAGGGGTCCCTGGTCCGCTGCCCTTGCTGTGGGGCGGGCCAGGCCGGGGACCAGGAGGTGGCTGCCAGGTCCCCTGGGCCGGCCCCGACCGGTAGAGGAGCCAGTGAGAGCAGACATTCAGGTGTGTCCCCGTCTGCACGCAGAGGATCACAGGCACAGAGGGAGGAGGACCAGTAGCTGGCCTAGGGACGATGGTCAGGCTGGGGCCGGGGTGGGCACTGGGGTGACGGGCTCTGAGGGTCTGGCATGGGGGGCCCAGAGGCTGCCTGACCACGTGCGGCTGCTGCCGGCGGGGAGCTGGGAGCTTAGGTGCTTTGTTTCGTGATGGAGTTTGGAAAGCGGTGGCTGCGGGGTGGGAATGAGACCCCAGCCCAGCCGACAGCAGCGGGGCTGGTCCGGCTTGTCTCCTCCAGTC